AAATAAATAAAATAAAATAATTAAAAACATTTTAATCGTTAGGGTTACAGTTAGGGTTATTTTAATTGAAATAAATATTAAATCATATAAATAAAGATAAATATAATAAGTATTAAAAATAATATTAGATAAAAACCTAAACTAAAGAAAAATTTAAAATGTTGCCTTGGCAACTAACTGAAATGAGTTAATGAAATGAGTTTATCTGGAAATAAACTGAACTAACACTAAAATAAAAATAAATATTTAAATATTAAAAAAAAATCACAAAAGCATATAAGAAAAAATGACTAAATATTAAACTAAAATCTAAATTAAAATATAAAAAAGGTAAAAGTAAAAACTCTAATAGTACATGAATAATACAAATAAGACTTGTATGAAGCTCATGAGCTCAGTTGCTCTGGTTTAGAAACTCAAACTCTTTGAGATCATTTGTTTTGTCTGAATGAATGTCTCTCACCCATCAGATAATCTGTCTTTTCAGGGTCCACTGCATCAAAGTCTGTCTTATTCCACACGTATCTTGCAACCTACACGTTTATGAGAAATATTGTGCGTGAAGATAATGCTGAAATGTGTTTTGAATATAGTTTAAAATGTGCTTTCTTCATTCATGTTTCTGGTCTTATCGTGAATGTTATTCTAAAGAAAATACATGTTTGTCTTCATGAGTCTTCATCAAAATGCAGTCATTTTCTCAGAATCTGAAACATTTTCAGCATCTAATCAAGTCCTACCTTTCTGTCGTTCTTTCTTGCTAAATGGAAAGGAAATATTTCACAGTAATGAACCAGATGCTCTTCTGGGTTTCCTTACCTTTCCCTCTTTCATGCTCAGCCACTCATTTACGAGGTTTCTGTTGTCTTTTCTCTGTCCTTGTGCGCTCAGGTCTGTGGGATACTCCGGATCGGGAAACCCTTTAGGCGTCATGTACTTCCGACCTCCTCCGATGATCACCTGCACACAAAGTCATCTGTTCGCTCTCCAGTTTTCATCAGGCAAACGAAGACTGAGTGCAAATGATACAAGCCCCGTTTACAGATCACACTCAACACCAAGATCGTGATGAGTTTGTGTCTTCATCAGGTTTGGAGAAATGTAGCACTGCATCAGTGTCTCAGCAATGGATGCTCTGCAGTGAGTGGGTGCCGTCAGAATGAGAGTCCAAACAGCTGATAAAAACATCACAATAATCCACAAGTAATCCACAGCACTCCAGTCCATCAGTTAACATCTGGAGAAGACAAAAGCTGAAACAAATCCAATGTTTTTAACTAAATTATGAGTCCATAATCCATAATAATGCTTCCTCCAGTGAAAAAGTCCATCTCACATAAAAATCCAGCCACATATGTGTTTAGAGCTGTTTAAACACTGCTTGATCTGTGCAGATTTCTCTCCTGATTCACACCAGAACACTTTTTCACTGGAGGAAG